GCGAGGTGCAGACAATGCATCAAAAGGTGCCATCTGTGGCCAGGCGTGGTGGCTCACACCTGTAATCCCAGCACTTTGGGAGGCTGAGGAGGGCTGATTACCTGAGGTCAGGAGTTTGAGATCAGCCTGGCCAACATGGTGAAACCCTATCTCTACTAAAAATACAAAAATCAGCTGGGCATGGTGGCGTGTGCCTATAGTCCCAGCTACTCGGGAGGCCGAGGCTGGAGAATCGCTTGAACTCAGGAGGTGGAAGTTGCAGTGAGCCGAGATCATGCCACTGCACTCCAGCCTGGGTGACAGAGCAAGACTCTGTCTCAAAAAAGAGGAGAAAAAAATAAAAGTGCCATCCGCACCTGATGCGCCCCGAGGAGAGGGCAGCTCCTGCGCAGGTGTTTCCGAGGGGGCACTGAGGACCCACCCCTGGTGCACTGGGTGGGAGAAGCACCAGTACCCGCTCTTCTCACTAAATCTCAACTCCGCTACGATTTGAGATTGTCAAGGTGCAACCTCCTTCCTCAGGGAAAAGAACTGTCAGCTCTTTTTCAAGTGACAATATGGAGTGAGATGAACACATTAAAAAAATAAATCTGAAGCCTTTCAAAGTAAACCAGACACTGGCCATCGAAGTCCTGAGCTGAGGTGACGCCCATGGGGGCAATGTGGTCCTCCCATGAGAGACAACCCAGAACTAACCCTGAAGCACAGTTAAATCCATTTGTATCAATTAAAAGAAAAAAACCCAACTGATTGTTTCTAGAAAGTGGCTTCAATGGAGCATGTAGGAAAATTCACAACAATCATGGACAGCTTGTTACAGAACAGAAAGGATTCAGAGAACATGTCACTGCAGGCACAGACTGTGCTCCTCACCTCAGCAGAATACCCACTTCTGCCCAGGGCAGCACCCACGTGTTCTACACCCAGCCTCTCCCAGATGGGCCTCGCGCCTTCCCCCGTCCCCACACCTTGCCTACATCCTCCAGACTCAGGCGCATTTCATTTTTCACCAAGAGCAGCTCCGACTGCAGTTGCCTCTGGCAGATGGTGAGCACTGACATTACGCCTTCTTGCTTGCAGAGAGGTGCGTCCTCCAACGTCATCAGGACGGGCTGCAGATCACCCTTGACAGAGACAGATGAAAGCTGAGCACACAGGAGGCTGCTGCTGGGGCTGCCCCACAGGTGGCCTGGAGCTGGGAGCCAGTACGGCAACCAGCAGGGATGCCAGAGGGAGGTGGCAGTGCCGTCCACAGCCAAGCACCTTGGTCAACAGCAGGCCACATGGGAACGGGGCTGAGGACCCAGCAGGAAGCTGCCCCGACCCAGGATGATGCCACAGAGCAAGATGGACTAGGGCATCTGAGAGCAGGAGCCGCTCTACAAAGACCCAGCTGGTGTGGGCGTGGCAGCCAGCAAGTGCCCAAGGCTCTGCTCAAACACAAGTGGGAGCCTTAAAAGACAACTCTCTGCAGGGCCTCCAGCTCCAAAAGAAGAGCTTGTTTACCACGTCTCACAC